CGGGAGGCTGAGGCAGGAGGATCGCTTGAGCCCAGGAGTTTGAGGTTGCTGTGAGCTAAGATGACGCCACGGCACTCTAGCCCGGGCAACACAATGAGACTCTGTCTCAAAAAAAAAAAAAAAGAAAAGAAAAAGAAAGAAAGCTCTTCACAAAGAGCTCAGTGCCAGGTCCAGTGGCTCATTCCTATAATCCTAGCACTCTAGGAGGCTGAGGTTGGAGGATTGATTGCTTGAGCTCAGGAGTTCGAGACCAGCCTGAGCAAGAGTGAGACCCCATCTTTCCAAAAACAGAAAAAATTAGCTGAGCATTGTGGTGCACAGCTGTAGTCCCAGCTACTCTGGTGGCTGAGGCAGGAGGGTTGCTTGAGCTCAGGAGTTTGAGGTTGCTGTGAGCTATGATGACTCCACTGCACTCTAGCCTGGGTAACAGAGCGTGACTCTGTCTCCCCCCAAAAAAGGAAGACCTCATGATCCAAAGGAAAAACAAAATTTGCTATTCTCAGCCATCCATAATGTATTTATCAGAAAACTGAAATAAACTTAATTTATTAAAATTCCTAGGGGGGAAAAGCCCAAATATATCATTGAAATTGGCCTTGGGACAAATCACAAAAGTTCTTAAATTTAAATAACTTTGTGAAAAACAATGAAATTTCGAACTGCCATATATGAATTAGAAACTTCACATATGACCTACATTGTTACTAGCCTAGCCACAAACTGATAAACCATATTCAGAGACAACATTCTATTCTGTGAATTTCAACTTGAAATACTTTGGACATAAAAGCTCCCCTTATTACAGGAAACATATGTAGTTTTATAAATTAATTCAGGTATCTCTGAAAATACTACAGTTTTAACAGCTTCATTTATTGCTCAAGTAGTCCATAATGTCTCCTATGTTTTGTTTTATAGTTGGCTTTCCTCCCTTATGGCCCCAAACTGACAATATCATGAGCTATTATTTCTAGTGCTTTTTCTATTATTGCTAGGTTTACTCCGGGTGGGAACCTGGAAAGTATGTATAGGACGGAATGGAGTTAATGGAAAACTTCGAGAGTGATCATAAGGCCTATGAAACAATAGGCACAAGAGTCTGGAGAGTCCACAGGTTGTAAATCTAACCCTGACCACAGAGGAGGCAGCGACACAGGGGTCCCAGAAACTGACTGTTTGAAAAGAATTTATTACAGTGACTGTTCTGGCCCAGTTGCTCACTCTACCTGGAAAAACCCTCTATAAAACCAAAGGCTCTCACCTTCCTTGGGGTGGACTGTCTTTTTGGCCCACCCATCTGCACCCACATACCCAAATAAACAGCATTTTGCTACACCTGAGGCTTTGTGTGTCTCCCTCTCGGCTCCCAACCTAACAATTATTATGTATTTTACATTTACATTTTACATAAATGTATTTTACATTTATCTTTAAAAAATCTATATGTATATTGATCTTCAAACATTATCTATCTGAATACTCAAAAAAATCCTTTATTTGGAATCAGGATTCAAGGCAATACAATCTCTTGGATACACACTAATTAAGGAATGGACTTTTTTTTTTTCCTTAGAGATGGGTCTCGCTCTGTTACCCATGCTGTAGTGCAATGGCATGATCTTGGCTCACTGCTTCCTCCAGCTCCTGGGCTCAAGCCATTCCCCTGCCTCAGCCTTCTCAGAAGCTGGGATTACAGGTGCAAGCAACTGCGTGCAGCTCAGGAATGGACATTTAAAACAATATACAGGCCGGGCGTGGTGGCTCACGCCTGTAATCCTAGCACTCTGGGAGACCGAGGCGGGCGGATTGTTTGAGCTCAGGAGTTCGAAACCAGCCTGAGCAAGAGCGAGACCCCGTCTCTACTAAAAATAGAAAGAAATTAAT